TGTGCCCCTATAGGACAGAGTAGAACTAACTGGCCCCTCAGGTTTCCTGGGTGGACACTTTATGGGAGCACATCACCAGATCCTGTTCCCTCAGTGGAGTGGCTGGTGGCCTCAAACAGCTGCCCTTTCTGTCAGCACCCACGTGCTTAGCTATTGTTCCTTTTAGGATAGAATAGGGACTTACTGTAAGGTCCATGGTGGCAGAGGAGCTACTTGTTGGGCTGCTAAGCTTGAGGTTACGAGTTCAAAACCCCCAACCACTCCATATGAAAACAATGAGCCTTTCTAGTCCCATAAAGTTACAGTCTCAGAAACTCACAGGTGCAGTTCTACCTTGCCTTTGAAGGGTTGCTATGGTTGAAACCAACTTGATGGCAGAGAATTTTTCTTTTAATAACTATTTCAATAGTTCAAACCTACCAGTCACTCTGAGGGAGAGGTGAGGTTGTCTGCTCCTGAAAGATTGACAGGCTTGTAAACCTAAAGTTGCATTCTACTCGGTGCTGTAGGATCGGGATGAATCAGAATCAACTCAATGGCAGTGGGTTTGGGGTTTGAAGTGAATGCTTGTGAAGTAGATAGACCTACTATTCAATAAATCTCTGATGATGCACTGTTAGCTCCCGCCAAGCGGCCTTCATGGCCTTCATGCACGATGGAAAGAAATGCTGTCTGCCCCTATGCTGGATGAAGGATTAGTTGGAGATCAGGCTGTGGTGATAAATAGTGTCAGCTGACTGGTTTGGGGAGGTGTATTGCCAGGCCTTTGTTCCTGGTCCATCTTATTCTAGAAAATCCATGGAAACCTTTTGAGTATTACATCAGCGTACACGCCTCTGCTGACAGATGGGTGGTGGTTGTATATAAAGTTCATTGGCTGGAAACCAATTCTTGGTCTCCTTCATGGAAGATAAGAAATCTACCACCGAACCACCACTCTCTAATGACACAGGTGGTACAAAATCTCCTACTTCAAAACGATGTTTTAATTACTACCAGATCCCATCTGTCCATCTGCCCCAATTTTATCAGAGAAAATAGAGTTTAGAAACTAAACTATGAAGACTTACAAATGCAAACGCATGCATTAAATATGTATTGAGTATTCTTGAGCGCCAGCTGCTAGTCTAGGGGAGTCGGACACATTCCTGTACCTCAGGCTCATTGCCTGGGAAGGAGGAGTAAGCCAGTATTATGACAGGTGTTATGTTTGAAATGTATGTGGGAAATTTGTCAAGTAAAGGACGTTATATCAAACCTACTGCTAGTGATTAATTTATGTCCTCCAAAAATTCATGTTGACGTTCTCGCCCCGGTACTTGTGTGATCTTATATGCAAATAGTCTTTGAATACGTCATTGGTCATGCTGGGGAGAGGAGGTCTCAATCCAACAGAAGTGGTGTCCTTATAAAAGAGAAGAGGCATGGAGATACAAAGAGCTGAATGAAGGCTAAGGGAAGATGCAGGTAGGTTGCAGCTTCAAGCCAAAGTATTCCTGGAGCTACCAGAAGCTGAGAGAGACAGAAATGCATCTCTCCAAGAGCCTTCAGAGAAAACATGGCTCTGCTGAGACCCTGAATTTGGACTACTACTACCCCCAGACCTGTGAGACAATTTAAATGCCACCCATTTGGGGGGATTTTGTTTTAGCAGCCCGAAGAAGCTAATACAGTGGAGCTTTCTGTTCATGAGAGAATGGTTTGAATGAATGCTTTCAGAATTAGCAGCAGACACTTAAGAGCTATATATTGGTATACCACACAAAGGGAGACTGAGGAAGGATATGTACTGTGTCATGCATATGTTTTTAAAAAAACTTTTTTTTTTTAATTCCAAAGGCAATGCTTAATTTGCCGATTCATCTCCTGCACAAAAACTCCAAGTGTCAGCCAACCAGCCTCTGAGGTTTCCTTGGCCACCCAGTTCAATCGGTAACCCCAAACCCACTCTAGTTTTATGGGAGAATTTTTTCAACACGAAACACCCACAAGATATTATGGGGGCAAAGGTGTAATTCAATTATCTGACTTAATCAATTCAAATGGCTAATGTACAAGGATCGCAGGATGCCATCCAGCTTTCAACCGAGGGCGAATAATTGTTCCATAATTTCTTAATTCTCCCACAAGACAGTTTAAATTAAAGGATGTCAATTTGCAAAGCCAGACTGCATTGTATTCTGAAATTAGGCCTGAAATAGCCACAGGATGAAGAGTAAAAGGCAGACAGCAGAGCCCAGAGTGCCCGGTGCTGTGCAAAACTGTTTAATACGGTCAGACCTTTTAATCTTCATATCTATTGATGCAGAAAGCAGCATATTTCTGTCACTTATGATAAGAAACATTACTTTTTAAATTCCTTGGTGAGACCTGCAGATCTTAGGCAGCTAAGATAGCAGGAATCTCTATTTCTGTTTCTGTAAACATTCTTCCCCCCCCCCTTAAATTGGTTTTATTCTAATCCATTTAGTCCCCAATCTAAGTCCAAGACAAGTAACCCTGAGTGGAACCACACAGAAGGAGAACAAAGGTTTGTGCCTCTCAATTCTCAAAGTCCCCTGGTTACCACTTTGAACAAGTTCATGACAAAACAAATCATGAATCTTGGTGGATTAACCATGGGCCAGGCAGATGAGACCCTCAAGTTGAGGAGTTAGGGGTAGACAGGAGGGAATGGTACACACAATTTTCATGATGGAGGGAAGCATTTTACTCACAGATGTCCTAGAAAGTGGGCTGGTCAATGCACCCTGGCTGGGTGGGGGTGACGCTGGTGAGAGGAGGGCCCGGGGTCTGGATGGAAGAAATCGGATGAGGCTTCCCCAACGTTGCCAGGGCCACAAGTCAGGAATCGTCATGGAGAGGAGCCAAGGACAGAGCTGCAATGAAAGAGCATGTGTCATTTTAGAAGCCAACACAACAAGGAAGAGGAGGGAGGACACAGCACGATGTTACTCAGCACCAGGGAGCTGACCACGAGTGATTTCAGATTCAGTGTCCTTCTAAGGTGTGGTACACGCTAACATAGGTGCAGACACAAAGACCACAAGGAATTGTTATGGAAGAAACAAACGGAAATGTGTTAGTTAAAATTTTATTGTGCCAACCTGGCCAATAAACCTATGTGGAGTTAATTGAAGGCCAGAGAGCTAAATGGCTCTGTGAGCCTTGCCTTTCTAGTTCTCGGGTCTCTTGCTTTGTGATGGTCGGACCAGGGTGCAGCTGCCTTACCCAGTTCCTGCTTCAGCTGGTAAGGCTCACTTCCTGCAAGACATCCCCAAGGAGAAGCCACATGGACCTTCCCCAATGCAGCCCTGGGTGCTGGAGCAGCCGTGTGGAGACCCCTGCCAGTGCTGAGATGCTTGCACATTCACTGACTCAGCTTTCCTCCTGCACTCGGCATCATTGCGTGTGTTTTGTGAGATGGAGGAGGACTTTGTGGATTGGTGTTGGACATATGGGCTAAAGTTGGACTTGTGGGCTTGGGCAGCACTGGGTTGGGATGTTTTCTTGATGTGCACTTAGCCTTTATATAAAACTCTCTCTTATACATGAGTTTCTGTGGATTTGTTTCTCTAAAGTACCCAGACTAGCACAAACACTGTGCTAGCTTTTGAACTAGATACAAACAAAACATAAAGAACTTGCTAATTTCATTTTTTAAATTTGGACTAGATCGTACATACAAACAGTAAACCAACTGATGTTGAGCTGACTGTGACTCCCAGTGACCCCAGGTTTGTCGCAGTGGCACTGTGCCTGTTTATCTCAGGCTGAGTTTCTGGTAGATTGCCAGCCTTCCACCCAAAACACCTCTGGCTGGACTGAAAGCTCCAGCCAGCCTCCTACAGTAGACGTGGTTGCCCCTTCCCCTCCACCCCCCAAGATTTGGATCTAGTGTAGACATAGACTAGAAGGCTATAGAAAAAACTATACCTTCATGTGTGTGAATACATATGTCGGATGAAAACCTGAAAATGGAATTACTGGGTAAAGAGAAGGTACATTGCAAATTGTGACCAATATTGCAAATCATCATCCACAGAAGATACAGTTTTTACATTCTTTTCAGTGATATATAAAAGGACACGTTTCCCACACTCCCACCAACAAAATTGATCACAGTTGTTTATCTAGAGCAGTGGTTCTCAACCTTCCTAATGCCGAGAAACTTTAATACAGTTCCTTATGTTGCGGTGACCTCCAACCATAAAATTACTTTCGTTGCAACTTCATAATTATAATTTTGCTACTGTTATGAATCATAATATAAGTATCTGATATGCAGAATATATTTTCTCTTTTTTATCATTTTACTGGGGACTCAGACAGCTCTTATCACAAGCCATCCATCCATCCACTGCGTCAAGCACATTTGTACATTTTTTGCCATCATCGTTTTCTTTTTTCCTAAATGATTTTATTGGGAGCTCATACAACTCTTATCACAAGACATCCATCCATCCACTGTGTCAAGCACATTGTACATTTGTTGCCATCATCATTCTCAAAACATTTTCTTCCTAATTGAGCCCTTGGTATTAGCTCCTCATTTTTCCCCTCCCTCCCTCCCTCATGACCTTGATAACTTATAAATTATTACTATTTTGTCATGTCTTACACTGTCTGATGTCTCCCATCACCCACTTTTCTGTTGTCCATCCCCCAGGGAGGGGGTTAGATGTAGATCATTGTGATTTGTTTCCCCTTGCTCCCCCACCTTATCCTTACCCTCCTCCTATCACTACTCTCATTGTTAGTCCTGAGGGGGTTACATCTGTCCTGAATTCCTTGTGTTTCCAGTTCTTATATGTACCCATGTACATGCTCTGGTCTAGCCAGATTTGTAAGGTAGAAATTGGAATCATGATAATGGTGGGGAGGAAGCATTAAAGAACTAGAGGAAAGTTGAATTGTTTCATTGGTGATATACTGCACCCTGACTGGCCCTCTCCTCCCTGCTATCCTGCTGTAAGGGGATGTCCATTATGCTGGATGTATTTTCATTGTTACAAATTGAACATACTTAAAGCATCTTGATTCTAGAAAATGTTTTGAGAATGATGAGGGCAATGAATGTACAGATGCGCTTTACACAATTGATGTGTATATGGATTGTGATAAGAGTTGTATGAGCCCCTAATAAAATGATTTAAAAAAATAGTTCTGCAAACATAATCTCCATGATGTGTGTTATAACAGGTACGCCAGACAAGATACTGAGGTGTGGGATGTATAGGAAATCAAGTAGTGAGACCATTTCTTTCTGTATTAATGAAAATAGACCCAGTTATTATCAACTGGGGACATGTTGACGCATATGATAAAGCAACTTAACAATCCAGACTCATGGCCATCAGATCAATTCCAACTCATGGCGACTCTAAGGGGAGAGCGGAACTGCCCTGAGGGTTTTGAAGGCTGTGATCCCAACAGATGAAAAGGGCCACATCTGTCTCCCAGGGAGTGGCTGGTAGATTCAAACCATTCACTTTTCCATTACCAGCCAGGCTACTAACCGTTGGCCCACCAGGGCACCAATAGATAAACTCAACCAAAGCAAACCCAACGTCAAGAGTCAATTCTGACTCACGGTGACTCTATCCAGTCGGCTAGATCTGCTCCCAATGGGCTTCCAGGATGATAAAAACCTTCATGAAAGTACACGTCTCATCATTGTCCCATAGAGCGGCTCATGTTTTTGAACTGCCAACCTTTCAGTCAGCATCCCAATGTTTAACTCGCTGCACCACCAGGGTTCCCTGAGAAGTAGAGCATTTAAAACCCATATTAACACCGTAATTTTCCCCTTGTTCTTTTACAGATAAAACCCAAAAGCAGCGATGTTGTGAAAGATTTCATCATATTGGATCAATAATCAGTGTCCACAGAAGTAGTTAACTAAGTGTGCATAAATGAGAAAATATGAGGGGGTATTTCCTGCCCCTAAATCAGAATATTTTTCAAAGCTATAAATTTAATTTTTTTACAAAACCTTCATTTTTATCACCTTCAAAGTACTCGTTATTACACTTAATACATTTATCAAATCTGTGATTCCGTTCTTAGAAACATGTTTCAAACTCATCTGTTTGGATGGCTGGCAGCACCTCCCTCATTTTTTTCTTCACTTTTTCTATGTCATCAAATCGCTGTCCTTTCATGTCCCTATGCATTTGCAGAAACAAAAAGAAGTCAGACAGCGAGGTCAGGTGAGTCAGGTCCGTGGGGTAAGAAAAGCATGCTGCTTTTTGCCAAAAGCTGGTGCACTGAGATGGCTGCATGAGAAGCTTCATTGTTATGGTGGCAAAACCAGTCCCCTGTATGCCACAAATCAGGTCTTCTTTTGTCACACACTGTTATGCAATCTTTTCAGAACCTCTAAATAGAAAGCTTGATTAATAGTCTGACCTGGTGAAACGAACTCCAAATGCACTATCTCCCTCACGTTAAGAACAAACAAACAAATGAGCATCATCTTGATCTTTGATTTCACTAGACAAGCTTTTGGGGGTGAGGTGATGATGCCATCTTCCACTGGCTTGATTGATGTTTGCTTTCAGGATCATAAGAATAGCACCATGTCTCCTCACCAGTGATGACCTTGCGTTTGGAGCTGTTGTTTCAAAGCACAGCATGTTTCCACTCGACTCTCCTTCTGCTGGTCAGTCGGAACCCGAGGCACAAATTTCACAGGGACCCTTCTCATTCCCGAATGTCACATTAAAATTTGCTGAATTTAGCTCCAAGAGCGTCCATATAACTTCCCCATCTCTTCAGTGGTCTGTCATGAGTCTTCAAGCCACATGAATGTTGTTGACATTTTCATCTGTTCAGACATCTAGAACGAGGTTTGCCATCATTCGACATTTTACCTTTTTTGAAACAATTAGCCCACTCTTACACTTGAGGCTTTCCCCATAATGCTGTCCTTGTAAACTGTGTTCCACATCACAATAATTTCTGGGGCATTTTTCCCTGAGCAGGAAACAAAATTTCACAGCCACACCCTGTTCTCTTAAATCGTCCAGCACAAAAACCTAGGTTTGCGCGATACTGCTTTTACGAAATAATTTACTATGACCAGAGAGAACCTTCCCAGGCGACACCACTGGGTGGGCTAACCCAGACTGAGTTGCTGGATGATGCGCTCTTAGTGGGAAAAATGCATACTATGAAAGCTACGCTCCACTCAACGCAATTCTGTTTTTCTTGGGGGTACCATCATAGATGAATTAAAATAAACAATAAGAAATACTCACCTGAAGTCTCCTTACAACCGAACAATATTTTACTTGATTAGTAAAAAAATGTCTGCTGTGACCACTATGCTCTTTGAAGAACTTTCTGTGTGGGTTCCAGCTGACAACAGTAACTCCAAAGGTCAGAGAGAAAAATGAAGGGGTAGGGAGTTCACGCTAACAGAAGAGGAACAGTGCAAAGGGGAGGGCAAGGATGGTTGCAAAACCGCATGAGTGTGAACAATGCCACTGAATTGTACATGGTAGAAACTGGTGAACTGGTGTATGATTTGCTGCATATATTCCAAACCCTGATAACAGAATAAATTAAGAATGTGTAAAACACTGAAATGCTAAGAAGGAAAAACTCTTAAGTTTTTAGCATGCTAATGTATAATACACTGAAAAGTCATTCAGTCTCTCAATCAAAGCATACAAAAGGAATCCTAGAAAATAAAATATTTTGGGAAAATGGATGAGAGGGCTCTATAAAGGACAAGTTGCCAAGCACACACTTACTCCCCGCCCTGCTACACTGTTGATGTGCTTGTGGTAGACACTGCAAAACGAGAATTTAACCAGCTATGCAGAAACTCCAGGCATTCACAGACACAGTTTGCTGCTGAGCTATAAGCCGA